GCAGAGTCAAAAAGTGCTTTTGTCTCCGCGTATTTCAACTCACTCATTCTCCTTCTCCTAGGGGGCCCCCAAGGGGGCCCCCAAGGGGGGCCCCAGGGGGGCCCCCAGGGGGGCCCCCAAGGGGGCCCCCAAACAGATACTGGGGCCCCCAAGGGTACCACAAGAAAGAGAAGAGGCAAACTCCTCTACAGCAGGACCTTCAGCGTGAAGACATATGGGGGCCCCCAGGGGGCCCTTGCAGCAACATATGAAGCAGCAAAAGCGGTTGGCTATGAACCCATTAGACCCTTAGGGGCCCCCCCCCCAAACAGTGAGGGGCCCTTGGGGGCCCCCCAACTGACGGACCTGGGGGGCCCCCCAGGGGGCCCCTCAGAAAGCTCTGTAGGGAGGCCCCCAGGGGGGGCCCCAATGCAACCTTCTACCAATACACAGAAGGATGGGGGCCCCGGTACCCAAGTTCATGAGGACGGGGCCCCTGAGGGGCCCCCCACTACTGCAGGAGGGGCTTTCTATTCAGGGGGCCCCCAGGGGGCCCCCGAAGATGAGGGTACCGAGGGGGAGGGGGGGGGGCCCCCCTGGCAGCAGCAGGAAGTGAGGGGCCCCCCAGCTGCGTCGCCTTCGCCGACAGCTCGCCATGAGGGGCCCCCCCTGGACCTCTCCCCCTGCAGCAGCAGGAGCAGCAGCAGCAGCGACAAAGCAGCACCTCTGGGGGCCCCTGGAGACAATGCTGGTGGTGTTGGGGGCCCCCCCCCCTCTGAGTTCACCCAGTACGGGGGCCCCTCTGCCGAGGGGCCCCCGCCGGCTCCACAGGAGCAGCAGCAGATATCCCTTGCAGCGGCAACAGCAGCAGCAGCAGCAGCAGCAGCAGGGGCAGCAGCAGCAGCAGGGGGCCCCTTATTTTCTTCTCTGTCCCCTCATGGGCGCCGCAGAGAGGGGGCCCCCTCCTCCTCTATCCGAGGGCCCCCTGCCTTCTCCCTATTTCCTGTGGGGCCCCCAGTACCCAGTACAGAAAAGGGTACAGGGGGGGGGCCCCCCTCGCCTACTGCGGGGGGGCCCCCCGAACTCGATGATGTAGACCCTTGGAATCTCGCTGCCCCCTCTCAGCAGCAGCAGCAGCAGCAGCAGCAGCAGCAGCAGCAGCAGCGGACGTTCCTGGGGGGGTCCCGTGCGTTAGGTGTTGCCGCAAAGGTGTTTCCCTGGGGGCCCCCCATGGGGCCCCTCAAGGGGCCCCCAAAGGGTACCCACTTGGGGCCCCCTGAACAGCAGGTAAGAGACAGGTGGGGGGGGCCCCCCTCCCCCAGCAGCCCCGTAGGGCAGAGGGCCCCCAGGGGCCCCTTCTCTGCTGCAGCAGCTGCAGCAGCTGCAGCAGCTGCAGCAGCTGATAGACGCACAGCAACTACAGGCAGGTGGGACCCTCGGGGGCCCCCCAGAGACAGGGGGAGGCCCCCCAGAGACAGGGGGGGGCCCCCCAGAGACAGCGGGGGGCCCCGCAGAGACAAACGCTTTGGGTCTAGAGACAGGGGGCCCCCTAGAGACAGGGGCCCCCATAGAGACAGGGGGCCCTCCAGAGACCGGGGGCCCCCCAGAGACAGGGGGCCCCCCAGAGACAGGGGCCCCCCCAGAGACAGGGGGGCCCCCAGAGACAGGGGGGCCCCCAGAGACAGGGGGGCCCCGGGGGACAGGGGGCCCCCCAGGGACAGGGGGGGGCCCCCCAGAGACAGGGGGCCCCTACCGCTTCGCTTTGATGGCAGCAGCCACCAACGCCGACTTCAGCAACAGCAACAGCAGCAGCAGCAGCAGCAGCAGCAGCAGCAGCAGCACAAGCGGGAGACACCACCGTACCGAAGGGACGGGGGGAGAGGCAGCTACCCTAACAGAGACAGGGGGCCCCCAACAGCAAGCAACGCGAGGGGGCCCCCCTACAGTGCTGCAGCGGGGGGCCCCCCTAGATGCAGCACACAGAGGAGACACAGAGACAGCCGCTCCCCCTTTCGTATGCGGGCCTACAGGCGCAGCAGCAGCAGCAGCAGCAGACGCAGACAGAGGAACCGCAGCAGCAGCAGCAGCAGCAGCAGCAGGAGAAGGAGACACAACGAAAGGCGCAGACGATCCTGCAGCAGCAGCAGCAGCAACAGCAGCAACAGCAGCAGCAGCAGAAGCAGAAGCCATGCAGCACAGCCAATGCGAGGCAGCAGCAAATATAGAAGCAGAAGCAGCCGCCGGCGTCGCAGCAGCAGCAGCAGCAGCAGCAGACGCAGCAGCAGCAGCAGCAGAAGCAGCAGCAGGGGACCAAGACACAGACAAGAGAGACAGCCGGGGCACCCCTCCAGCAGCAACAGGTGCAGCAGCAACCGCAGCAACAGCAGCAGCAGCGGAGGAAGGTATCGAAGAGACACAGCAGCAAGCATGAAACGCAGGTGGCCCCGCAGCAGCAGCAGCAGCAGCAGCAGCAGCAGACGCAGACGCAGCAGCAGCAGACACAGCAGCAGCAGCAGCAGATCGGTGCCCCTCTGCTTCCAACGGAGACGCCTTCTCGCCAGCAAACGCCCTCCACCCAAACCACAGCAGCAGCAGCAGCAGCAGCAGCAGCGGGAGCAGCAGCAGCAGCAGCGGGAGCAGCAGCAGCAGCGGGAGCAGCAGCAGCAGCAGCAGCAGCAGCGGGAGCAGCGGGAGCAGCGGGAGCAGCAGCAGCAGCAGCGGGAGCAGCAGCAGCAGCGGGAGCAGCAGCAGCAGCGCGAACGCATGCGCAGCAGAAGAACACCCTGGGACTCGGGGGGCCCCCAAAGTGGGTACTGGGGGCCCCCAAGGAGACGGCCTGAAGGCGAAGGTATACATAAGAGAAACAGCGGCAGCAGCAGCAGCAGCAGCAGCAACAGACGCAGACACAACAGACAAAGAAACAGGCGCAGCAGCAGCAGAAGCAGAAGCAGCAATGGCAGCAGCAGCAGCAGCAGCAGACACAGGTGCTGCAGGGAACCGAAGACAGCCAACAGAGAGAGGCGGAAAGAGACAGATGCAGCAGCAACAACAGCAGCAGCAGCAGCAGCAGCAGCAGGAGCTGCAGCAGCAGCAACAGCCGCAACAGCAGAAGCAGAGGATAAACGCGTAGACAGCAGGGGACCACTCGAGCAGCAGGAGCAGCAGCAGCAGCAGCAGCAGCAGCAGCAAGGAGTCTCTCTGTCTCCTTCTGGGGGGCCCCGGGGGGCTAGTGGGGGGGCCCCCAGGGGCCCCCCTACCCTCGATAGGGTGTTTATGGAGGGGCCCCCTGTTTATAAACGAAATAAACAAATATCTGTCTCCTTACGTACAAACAAATAAAATAAATATAAACAAAAAAAAAAGCAACAGCAGCAGCTGCTGCAGCAACAACTGCTGCAGCAGCAACTGAAGCAGCAAGTGAAGCAGCAAATGCAGCAGCAACTGCAGCAGCAGCAACTGCAGCAGCAGCAATTGCAGCAGCAACGGCAGCACCGACTGCAATTGTAGCTGCTGCAGCAGCAAATGCAACTGCAGCAGCAACGACAGCAGCAACTG